AATAACACATACATTTAATATCTTTAAGCAATTTTTTCTCCAAAATTTCATTCTGATTGGGCCATATTACACTTAGGATACTGTTGTGAAATGCAAGTAATTATGGTTTTCTATATAGCAGGGCAGGTCAAGTCCATATTTGAAACGTATTGGAATAACAGACTCCAATTACCCTCTTTTCAAAAGGTCATTATCATTGTCAGTATTATTGCTTGAATCATTTGTTAAATAAAGATTTGGTTATGTAGAATGTTGTGTGTGTTTTTATCATTAAACAGAAGACTATATCACATTTTATAAAACATTCTGAAATCCAGAAAATTCAAAAAGGCTCAAACTTTTTTTCTTAAAAACAGTTTTTAAGTTTAGTTTTTTTATTTAGAATTATATTTAAAAATTGACAGAATATTTAAATGTATTTAAAGCAATGAAGGAAAAACTAGTGACAAATATTGATGCTCTTAAATTTTGAAGGTTCCAGAGAAATTTAGAAGTATAATCACAACTCATGATTAAAGCTACCAATGGACATTTCCTACATTGTCCAAAAAAAGGATTTACTGTCAAAACTGCAGGGAACAAACAGTAAAAGTACTTTTTTCCTACCTAATGACTGGCTGTCAACTCATGAGCTCGCTCATCTTTGGAGACAGAATGTAAGGGAATTAGACTCTCACACTGCTCACTGTCCTCTGGAAGCCTGCAGGACACATCAAAATTTAAGGTGAGTATTAGTTCCTGTTTACTGCTCCTGCCTCTCTATAGTCAATCTAAGCATGCCAAACTTAGCAAAATGGGGAGGTTTAATTTGTTTGGGGGTATGACCACAGTGTTATGCAATAAAAAAGATGATAAACGTAAAGTAAATTAAAGACAATAAATGAATTACAAAATACAAATAATGGGCCAGCTCTAACAATTTCAGGGCTTTTTCTGTTTGATTCAGGTTTCTAGCAGTGTGTGCAGTTTGCATGGTTACGTGAACTGATGTCTCCAAATTGCCTTTAATGTGTATTAGAGTGGACTGACATCCTGTCCCCTGCCTCACACCCTGTATGAATGGTTTTGAAAGAGGGATGAACGGCTTTGTTGATTTCTGAATTTGTGAGGAACCACCACAAAGGGCTTAATTAATATCTTGCACAGCATGAAAATCTCCTCAACAAGTTCACTATTAAGAATGGTCTCAGAACTAAACCATCAAAAAAGAACTTTAAAAAGAAGTTTTAAAAGTGTCCAAACCTAGCTGTTGGTTTTTGTAAATGTAATTTTCATTATACCATTTCAACAAAACAGAAATTCTGTAATGTAATAAATGCACCAGAACACTGATCATATAACATTGATTCGCTTGCCTTTGCATACGGTGTTTTCGGCAGAGGACAGCGAACACTCTACGCAGTCCAATCATAACTGGATCCCAGTTGTTGTAGTTGTTTAAAAAGGTTGCAATGAAGAATGACAGAAAGACTGGGATTGCTCCGGCAAAAAACAGCCAGGAAAATTGTACCTGGGAGAAAAAAGTAAATAAATAATAGCCAATGACATGACATACAGAGGAGTTCCGTTAATTGCACAGCACTTACCTTCTGAATACACATATCAGCTATAACTGACAATGGTATTGTAAGGCTCAGTGCAAGGGTGCCTATCAGTGATGAGGTGAGGAAACAGCCCCTATGGGAAGAAAAAATATTAGGACATTAACCATAAAAGTACCTGGTAAAGAATATCACTCTCAAAGCCAAAAAGTTTAAAGCTGTTCAGTAGTGTGGGTACAAATGCATCAGTAGGGCTACACTGAGCAAAAAACAGATGAATGAAATTTTATTTACAGGGAAAACAATTAAAACAATTTTAGTTTACTACTGCTTAGCATGTATTATAAAGACAGGCAAATTCCTAGGGTCAATGGTTACTACAATGAGGGAAATGCAGACGCAAAGGTCTATAAAATGGAAATACTAACAAGGTGATATATACATAATATATAACAAAAATGTCACACATACACTGATCTACCAACAGCAACCCAGAGTGAAAAGCCTGGATATGAACATGACGTCAAATTTCAGGATACAGGAAATTAAACATTTTTTGAATGGAAAGTCCATTGACTGAAATTGGTAGACTACTCTTTGTACAGTCATATTAATGAAAGTTATTTGTATTATATTCTGATCCAAATACAGCTCCATCCCAGAATTCATCATTATTCGAGGTTCACTCCAGTGGTTGAATTACAATAACCCAGTGATTTAACAATATCTTGTACATACCACAGCCATAGAAATTCAGAGAGCACTGTTCCAATCAGTCCGTTGATGATGATATACATACACACCAGCTTGCTGGGTAACTCAAAGGGCTCAAGGCCTGCGTAGTGCAGCAAAACAAAACCCGGCCACAGCAGGAACAGGTTGAAGAGCCCCACGAAGCCTAGGTTGAGAACCAATGCAATGTAATGTTCATATTTTCAACAAAACAAAACTCCTTATAAGAGGGGTGTACATCTCTTATTTTTTCAGGTTCATAGCAAAAAAGGATGTAGATCATACATTAAACTGCATTGCACCTCGATTCTAGAGGCTGGTCCACGTTGCTTGTATATCACTAATTTCCACCCAACTACTAAATTAATTTCGATCAACATACAGTAAACTGGGATTCAACAAGCAGACACATTCCTTGCATGTATAACAAAAAATGTTTCGTCTTTGAACTTTGACAGAAAGCCAGAGTACCAGGAGGAAACACTAGGGGTGTAAATATGCATCGATGCATTGTGATGAATTGATTATTAGGGTAGCAGTTCAACACATCAATCTGAAAACAATAAATTTTGGGGGTAAAATAAAGATACTCCTACTGTACTTCTGGGTTGTATACTTTGACTTTCCCGTACAGCAGTTATATGCACATAGTAACAGTGCCGGCACGTAAATTTCTGAAATGTAGGATGGCAGGGGAAGGTTCATTAATATTTATAAAGGAATCAGTACCTGAAGATCTGAACATGTTTTTGGGAAATGCCTCTTATGTCATTCTTTTTGATAGCCATGGTAGCAATGAACATGACTTAAACGTGTGCATTCGCAATATAAAGTGATACACATGGCAATTTTTTGTCTTAGAACAAATGTGTACTTAATTTATTATGTAGGCTGCTGTGACAAGAAATTGCTGCGCGTATGGCTTTATAGCGCAAAAATATGCACTTGTGTGCATTTTATGTGCATCCCTGATGTGCATCCCTGTCTGGAGTTGTTACAAGTTCTCAAAATTTTATTTGTAGTGTACACTGGATTTATAAATGCATGATAACACAAAATAACGCTCCTATTCATTCATGTCATTTGATGCCTTTGGACCTTAGGAGGAAATTCAAGTACACGGGGGAAAAAAAGTTGATAAGCACGTGCCACATAGATGAACTATGTTCTCAGGCTAATATATGAGAATAACCAAAAATCAGCTGAGACATACAGTTAATCCAAACATTTAAAGGCAAAACTGCCTTGAATTTATCTGGTACTTCAGAAAGACACACACACAGTTCACCTTTTCCAAGCCCACTTACCAAAGAACATGGGTATGTCCAGTCTATCCTCCCGCTCAACTTTCCGTTTGATCACCACAATATAAACAGCATAGAGGATGGCTCCTGCCAGAGACCAAATAATTCCTGGACATAAATGGGAAGCCGGCAGGCCAGAGTGTTAGTGCAAGCACAAAGCAAGGAGGAATCACCTCTAACTCAAGACAAAACACAACACTGTCCAGAGCAATGTTCAAAATGCATGACGTATGCTTGATCTTTGTTTCCAGGTTCATATGAGCTGTTTTTTTATTTTGATTTGGACAACAATCACCAAACACAGAAACCATACTCTATAGGCTCTACATTCAACATTAAATCTCTGATGTAATGTAAGGAGTGGGAAAGCTCCTTTTTAATCTCGATACAATTTAATATTTCACTGTCATTTCTTACTGATGTTCCACTTTGGGAGCTAAGGAAGTGGACTGAACAATCAACCAGCAACATCAAGACATACTGATTATTTCCTAAACTAATTATCTACAAGGACCTGTTAAATTGGGTGCACATTAGTCAATTTATAAACAGCCTTTGTAAAATGGAAAAATAAATTCAAGAAGGGGAAAAATGCTCCTGATTGAATGTTATCCAACTTATATCACAGAGTCAGGTCTTAAGTTTAAGCGCTACTGTTGAATAAGCTTGTATATCCATACAGCAAAATGGTAAGCACTGACATTTGTACATGTAATTGGTCAGATAACAGTAAAAGCAACCTGCAGCTGCAAAATAACAGAACATACCCATTTAACTCTAGATCAAATATTCCAAATTACATTTGTCATTATCCATCCATCCATCCATCCATCCACTTATACAGTAGCACAAGGCATTGGTAAACTCTGAAAAGGATGTCACTCCTTTGCAGGGAATACAAACACTAACACTTAGACACAGGCATATCGTATAGGTAATTTTAGAGACGGCAATTTACCTTAGGACTGTGGAAAGAAACTAAACTATCTAGAGGAAATCCATGCAAAACAGGATGAAAATGCAAACTGAGCCCAGACAGAATAGGGGTGAAATTCACAATGTCCAATCAAAGAGTGCGACCTGCCACTGTGCCACCCATAATGGTGAATTGCAAAGAAAAAGTAATGAAAAGTCAAATAAATCACTGCTATGTTCAGCAACATGACATATAATTTATATTAACTTAGTTAATTTACTGTCTGGAATAAGTTTACTGAGATCTACCCCTTGAGCAAGCCCGGGGGTGGTGTTTGCTAGAGAACGTGCTTGGTGGCTGGGTCACCCACATAATCTGGCTCACCACCCACAACATGACAAGATGGGGGTCAGATGCAGGACCATTTGGGCAGGAAGCATAAGTAGAAAGTGGACTAGATGGGAACATGGATTGTTACCTCTCTGGTGAGGAAAGAGCCCAAGCTAGTGTGGGAGATATAAGAGAGTCGGCTACATACAGTACAGTTGGCCTTACCTCCGTGCACAGAGTGGGCTCTGGAGCCAGACCTTGGGGGTGAGGATACTCACAAGTCCTAGGGGGAGGACTATGCAGCTGGCGGTTTTCCTGCTGAACGAGAGGGTTGCCTCTACGCAGTTGCTAGTTGCAGAGAGGAAAACTGCTGTGCATATGCACCAAACAAGAGTCTGGAATACCCAACCTTCTTAAAGGAAGTGGGTGAGGTGCTCAAGGAAATAGCTCCTATGGACTCCGAGGTCCTACTAAGAAATTTCAATGCATTTCAAATGATGGAAGTAATGATGGAGTGTGATTGGGTAGAATGGCATCCCAATTAATTGTTATTGGACCTCAAAACATGGATTGTCCACAACAAACACCAGGTTTGAAAGGCAGGATGTTCACAAGGGCTCTTTTCCACAGCACTTCAAAAAAGTACTTTGTGTTTGTTTTCCATGCCGTAAATACGGGTACTGGCGCGGAATGATGTCATCACAACGCAAGGCAGGGTATTTTGAATTTGAAAAATGGCTATAGTATGTAGGTGTGCAATTTTAATACCAACATCGTATGTTATGCACATGCAATTCTCACACCACAAGGACCGTGATAGTCAGATGGGTTGAGATCAGGTTGTTTCATACAGTCTGTACAGTCTGCAAACTACAGTGGGGGGGGGAGGGGGGTTAGCTTCACTAAAACATTTTTACTGTCTGTTATAGAAAACAAAGTTTTGCAATTTTAATGACTGTTCCTTTTCAAGATTATACTTGAGATTTAAAGTTTACTGTTGCTGCTTTTGCATGAGCTCAGCATGCATCACACTCATTTTTGAGCCAATCACACTCATTTTTATCCTTGCTGGTTAAATCAATCTTAGACATGTATTTGAAACTCATTTTCTGCTTTACAAATTTGCCAATATCTGTTGCAACAAAATCGCATTGCCATATTTGAAATTTTTCCAATGTCATGCGGCCCTAGTACTGTAGCATATTTATCCTTTAATCTGATATTCGAAACAGACTGTAATTAAACGGATATCATTGTCAGTTGCTTAAAGGTGTGTAGGGGGCTTGTTTGCCATCGCAACCCCTCCCCCAAGTACTCTAAGCAGCCCCCCCAACCACATTTCACAATCTGGTATTAAGTTTCACCTTTTAACTGTGCCTGCTCACACAACCCTCTGCTCAGACTCCATACCTTAATCTAAAGGCTCACATAATGTTTTACTTTTTATTGTAACCCAGGGCACGGAGGAGACCTAGCAGTGAAATTGATTTCTCACATTTGCAGAATTCTCCCTAAGTAATATTAGTCTGGAGACCACTGCGACCATATTCCTCATACATAGCAGAGCCTGTTGACTTCCTCTCTGAATAGTCTGTTAAATTCCCCACAAATAAATTTAGTTGAGCTCCCCACAATGAATTTCGCACAGCTGGCTATCAGACTGCTACTGATAAAATTTGCCCAGCAAGGGTGCAGGTGATGAAAAAAATTATAAAATTTATTTTATAATATTCAGAAAATCATCTCACACCCAGACTGCTGTGTTCACAAGATGACCTCTGCAAGCCTCCCTTTAAATGCTCTCAGGTGCAGACTTTTAGCTGTAGATTTTCATCCGTATAATGTTTTTGAAGTGGCAATAAGATCCAGCAAAAACAAAATAGAGTATAATAGAGTAATAATCAAATAAAGTTATCCTGTTCACAAGGTCAAACATCTTATCTAAGTGACCCTTCCTTTTACTCACTTTTGATCTTTGCTTCAGTTTTGGTATTTGATCTTCATCCATATAATGTGTCTGCAAAGTCTGGCAAAGATCTTTGAAATTATCATCTAAAAATTATCAAGTGTCTGAAACTGTCCCTTTTTTGCTATCACCATGTGCTGCTACTTCAATTTTGGGGCAATCTGTCTCAAAATTTAATGAGTTCCAAATCATCACCCATATAATGCCTTTGTGTTTCAAAAAGTCTTTCAAATACTTTTTGAGTAAATGCCTTGACAATAAAATGACTGTAGTAGCAGTGCAATGGTCCTAAAACCTTATTTATTCCCTATCTGGGAAGAACAACCAATGAAAATAACACTAAATAACTAATACCGAACTCATGTACACATATAAATGTTAAGCATGGATTTCAAAATTTGTCGTCTCATTTAAAAGGCATCCAGATTTAACATATACAACCCTGGTCTCACTATCAGACCAGAGGCCACATTGTAATTTACAATAATTTGTTTATGGCAGTAAAGTCCCCAGCTGTTGAGCTCTGAGCATTATGTCTGACTAACCCACTAATCACTCCATTCTGACATCACTCATGTCTGACAGGTTAACATAGCCAGGAGATTGGGCAGCCAGATAACCTTTGTATGACACGTATTTTATTTCTCCAGTAACTAGAACAGGATGTTTAAAATTATTTTGCTATGTCGTCATTTGGATTAGTTTTCCTTTCAGCTTTTTATTGCTGTAATACATAATCTATGTCAAACATTGTATTTTAAAAAATGTAAAATGAATTAAACTGAACATAGGAAAAGTTCTCCTGAATATATGGTTTAAAAAAAAACTATTTTAACAATTTAGAAGGAAGGTCTGTCATTTATCTAATATACCAAATGCTTAACTACTTTTCTTAATATTTCTGACTATACTTAATTATTCAAAACTCATAATATTTACAGTTATAATGAGTAATTTATAATGATGCAATTTGCAAATTAGTAAAGAAGCCATTTACCTAGAGCAGCATTTCCGTCAGAGCTGTCAGATGTGGAGAAGCTCACCAGAGTCACACCTCCAATGCTTATAAAGGGATGACAGAAATGTAAATCCAGCCTACAGACTAATTTCACAGTATCAAAGTACAGAACATATGGAACCACTTTACAATAAGGCTACCCTTTGCCACTTATAAATGGTAGTAACTCATCAATAAGAAAAAAACTGTGGTATAAAACTTGTTTATAATTGTGTAATAATGATCTACAAATTGTTACAACCAAATTAAGAACCTGCTTATAAACCATTCATAATCCCTTTATAAGGGTAGCCTTATTGTAAAGTGGCACTAAACATATGATATAAATAAATGCATTTACTGTATAAGGTCAAATAAGCAGACCCAACCCTTATGTCTTTAGGGCTGCAGAAATATGGCTTCATATTGAACCACCAGTACAAATTAACTATATTGATCCAAATGCTGGGAAATTACCTAGGAACATTTTTTTTAAACCATCACTTTCAACAAACCTGCTATAAATAATTATTGTCGTGTTCAGAACACATACTGTGCAATTCAGGATTATCTGTAAAATAAGAGTTTTTTGGTTGTTTTGTTTTACACACCTGTGGAATAAAAGTGTTACTCTCCAAATCATGGCCTAATGTGATAAGACTCACAGAGCTTAGCAAATCATCAGTCTAAATAAACTAAATGTCTTATTTATCCAAGATTAGAATTCACACAATTTCAGGTTGAAATTTAATTGAAATTTATATTTGCATAAATTTGTTTACTTACCTCAGTAAAACTGCTAAAAACTTTGACAATGTAAACCTGTCACTACTGTTGCTTGGAAATATGGCAGCCAAAATCAGTGTGAAAAGACCTAGTAAAAGACAACAAAAGCAGTGATATATGACTTGGTCCTTCAATGGCCTTTTTAGCTGTAATGAAACTCAATCACCATATAGACTCAGACGTCTGGCTCAAAAGAAGACTCAGCACTGATGGAAAACTAATAATTTTCACCAAAACTTTGTCAGAGTTCACTAAATCTAGGTAATTAAATATCATTATGCAATTAATCAGAAAGGCAATATGCACAGGTCCAGTGAGTATAAGGTAAATAATATTACATTGGTGTTTTATACTGGGAAAACTATTCAAAGTGTTTTATGTGCATAAAGTTTGCTAAATGTCATGGGGTTTTATTTAATACAGGGTACCCTGCATTACAGACATTAATGAACCATGTAAGTACATTAGTCATGCATCCTTGATTGTACAGAACACTTAATATTATATCATTGTTATATAAAAGTATATGATGTTTCTCTAGCTATTTTTATTTATTTATTTTTCCAAAGTGCAGAAATTACCTTAGAGGGAAAGCGAACTTTATGGTGAACTAAACTGTACATCATCAATATAATATTTAGGTCTGTTTTTCTTACCTGAAGTTGATGATAAAATGTTCACTATGGCTACCTGTGTATCGGATAGCGCTTCTTGGTAGGATAGGTTAGCAAGGAACCACTGCACAGGGGAAATTTAAACACATTATTACATAGTGTGCAATATCTGATTAAGAATACTCTTTCACTTTTACCATAGTATGGCTGATCATTATCAAACAAGTCGTAAAATATGTCTTTGGGTTCTGAAAAGCGCTGTATTCATCCAATACATTATAATTTATTATAATAATAAATAATAATAATAATCCAGATACTTACAACAAAGAAGAATAAAAAACTAATTTTGGCAACCTCAATCACAGTAAGCTTGTCAACTGTTTTCAGCAAGGTCTCGTGATCTTTGGCAGCTGGGTAGGACATCCGAGACAGTTTCGCTTCAAGAGCCTGTGTGGAGGGAAGCTGCCGAACCTCCATGATATTGCTAAATCGAACACGGTGCTTTTTAGGGGCTGTGAAAAGGTTAAATTGGGACTTGTGATTAGTGCAGAAAATTTCTTTATTAATGAATATTTTAAAAACTGGACATTCAATTTGACTGTTTAGCAATAGAATATGCAACATTAAATACAAATTTCTGCAAAATGACTAATTCTTTTAATACTTTACTAGCATACAAAAATACTATTTAATACTTCACAAATATCTAATTAAGATTATTCTGTACACATGCTTACATCGGTCACAGTTACCACTGGAATTGCTGTTTGGTTCTGTTGAAACATCTTGAAACTTCAGAGGAACATAGAGTGGTTCACTCTGAAAGACAACAGAATTGCCACAATATAATAACCATTTAACTTACCATAATAACCATTTAACATAACTGATTACTGTTGCTTACTATAAATGATTCATACACAAGCCAATGCCAGCAGACAACATGGCAAAGCATAGTGCAATAAATAACCATGGAAAACCAAAATAAAACATATTTATGTTGTCCTTACGAGACAACACTGTGCAATCTCCTAAAACAAAAAGTTGTACTATAAAACCCCCAGTAAGCCTAGACCTGTGGAGCCATTCCTCAAGTAAAATATACGGGAGGTCTACGAGTTAACACATTCCACTTTTTACTATACACTAGTGGCCAAAATTGTGGAAACGCATTCAATTTTTAGAGATTGCAGAACTTTATTCAACTGTTGCTCCAGTTACTAATTTAATCATCCGATGTATGATATTTGTAACATTCTTTGATTGTTTATAAACATTATCACCAATATTATTGTAGTAATTTTTAAAATATAATGCCAAAAATGCTAGGTTTTTCCACAATTTTGGCTATTAGTGTAGATGGAAAACACCATTCTCCAGTTTCCTAATAGCATTTGATATCTAACTGACCAATGAAAATACGTTTTATGATGTAATTTATTTAAGGGGCCATCAAAACTACTTCTCTCACCCTTTGTTTTTCCACTCAGAATCAAGATTGTAATTTTCTCTCACGATTCTTGAGCAATATATTTTTATTTTAATATATCTCTCTTTATTACAGTATTATTATTATTATGTACTGTGAGGATGGATCCCGATTGCTGCCCGCCGCCATCCCCACACCCGCTTGCATTCGCCAGAGTACTGACAGCTGTCTGATTACTGAGCATTACTCTGGCCCGCTTTCCCTGATTTCTTGATTTCCCTCTGGTATGGTTATATGAGCCTGGTGAGTGTCTGTACGCCGAACCCCTACTGAGTGTTTGTGCTTGTCCTGATATCCCATCTTCCTGCATGAGTGCCTGGCCCTCCCTTCACTCCCCAGGAGAGACTCCCTGGCTTTTTCCACCTTAACATCTCTTCCCGACTTAGATTCTCATTTAGTGTTTTTGATTCTTGTCTGTCTATTCATTAAAAGTCAAGATATCAGTAACAGTCAGATGTGTCAATCTTGGGTAATGTTTAAATTTCATAAATATGCAAAGTTAGCAGTACCACAGCTAGAGACACAACTACTAAAACAATGGAGATGACTGCACTGGACAATCAGCCATTTTCCATAGTGGAGGACGAGGGATTTTGTCAAAACATTATTAAATCTGAACCCCAGATCGATATTTCGGTATCCACATAATTACCTATGGCAACCCCTCCACCCCCCCCCCATTAGGTAGTGCTCCCTAATGTGTTTGATTTTTTCCTGCACTGTTCAGTACTTGGCCTTTTGACAACAATAAAAATGAATGTTCAGAGAATCCACTTTCCTTATATTCCATTAGTATTCCATTATTCCAATAGAGTGTAATTAAATGTGATTTTTTTTTTCAATATAATTTTTCAAGTTAAAAATTTAGGTCATTAAAATAATCAATTTATGAATCGAATCATGATAGAAAAGAAATATTTCCAATGTATCGAATCTTTCCCTCAATAACTGTAATCAGTTCAAATTGCCTTGGGGCCAATGATTTATACCCCTTGATGAAAACTACACTCTAGGTAAATAGGCAAGACATATATGTTAAGTTACTGGACCATTTAATTTCAACAAATTTCCAAAAAGTTTTTGAGTCACCGTTTTCTTAAATTTGACATGTGAATTATCCAGAGGTCAGAAATATTTTCTATTTTAAAAAAGAAACATTACCTTTGCCTTTTCCCACACGATGGGGAACAAAAAATAAGATTATTCAGTGTTTTATGTGCTGTAACTTTTTTCTATTACAGCTACATAGCTCAACTATGTATTTTATGCTTGTATTTTGCCTAAATCTGTTTCTAAGGATGAAGTAACAGGTTACTGTTTTTTGTACAAGTTGCATACATATACATTTTATAATTAAAATCTGACTTGTTACTCCAATCCCTTCACTTTTTTTAACCAAATGTAGTAAAAAGGAAGTTAGCAAGATGAACTTTGATCGTGACAAAAGTTTAATTTTCATTCTGTAAAGAAGTTCTCTGTCTGAAATATCCAATGAGTAATAGGAAGAAAGTAACAGCTCATAAAAAACTTTATTATATTTTTTTTGCTACCCATAGTGCACTATATCTCTAAGGGAAATAAATAATAATAATAATAATAATAAAACATTTCTGAGCTCTGGAAAGTATGAATAATTCACATGCCAATTTCATCAGAATCAAAATAGGTGATGCCAAGGTCATTTGTAGAAATAAAATGGAATTACTTTACTACTAAGAAAATATATTTGGTACAAAATTTAATCAATGCATATTAGGAGAAAATAGATTTACTTCATCTGTACAACCAAATAACAAAAAGACATCTGGGGTTCCATTCTAGTGTATTAGGTTGTTAGAAAACAACATTTTCTAAATGCAACCATGTTTATTTTCGTAATTTTCATTACATAAGATGGTAAAATACTGTAATAGTCAGTTAAATCATGCTACAGACATAATTAGAAAACAGTACTTACTAAAGAATTGTTCAAACTGTGGTCTGTAGGACAAGCTGTTAGATAGGCCTCTCCATCAGCAAACTGAAATATAAAATGCATTTAAACTCAGGAGATGGAATTTAGGGTGTTCTTTTTCTTTTATGACATTTCAGCTATCCACATTTGAAGAATTTCTTCCCCCATCAACTGCTCTATGCATGACTGCTTTGTTTCTGACGAGCAATTCATACTGCCCAAGTATATGGATTGCTCCTACAAAAGAGCTGGTCTGTATGGCAATACTGTACATAGTGAAACAGTAGGCTGATGGTGTTCAAATCCCAAAAAAACAATTATCAATTTACCCATGAGCAAGTCTTAATCTGTATTGCTTTTGAACACAAGTATAACTAACGATTTTGAACAAAAGATGCTTTGATTTACAATACTATACTTATACAGCAGTTGCTTTTATCCAACACAATGCACAATTGATAAAGTAGGATCAGTCAGTCCCCAGAGCTTTTCTCAAGGATCCAACAGTCAGATCAGTCTGCCAATGACAGGATTTGAACAGGCAACCTTCTGATCAGGAGCACACAGTCCTAACCCACTGAGCCACACTCTGCAGACACGCAAGTAAATAAGCGGTGCAACCCTCACAAAGGCTTTTGGCCTGCCTCGGAATCTGCCAGAGCACTGCTGCCTCCAAGGCTTCCACACCAGAAATCCCAGCAGGTACAGGATGAACATGGATGTCTTGGCAAAAGTGCTGAAGAATGGTTTGTTGTACTCCTCGTGCTTGAATATATACTGGAAAAAAAGTGTATATATAGTATTTATTATGTCTCTGTCTATCTCTGTATCTCTCTCTCTCTCTCTCTCTATCTATCGAATTAATCATTATTTAGCCACTGAAAGAAAAAAGTATCATAAAAAATAACAAAAGTAACCATTGGATATAGGAGACAAAACTGAAATGATTTGACTTAAATTATGACTAAATCACAATACTGATGCACTGCTGCCAAAATAAAGTTCAATATTCCTCAGTTTTAACAAGTTAATCGGGATAAACAAATTAACCAACATTGGTAATGAATTCATACATATACTGCAGGTTTCTTTATTAATCCTTATTAACTTCCTCAAATATATATATATATATATATATATATATATGACATACACATAAACATTTCTTCAACAGACAAAATGGCTCCAGTTACATGAATGGTAGACTGCTTGAACAATGGGTCAGGGTATAACTGACATGACATACCAAGGTAAGCTCAGAGGAGGCCACCCAAATAACATCGACAAGAAGTAAAACGATGATCCCTAGAGCTGTGCGCCTTCGCTGGGCCAGCACACCACTCTGGAAGCTACTAACCCGGTTCATAACAATGCACCACACCATCAGGAGGCTGTGAGGCCAAAGAAGATGCATATCAGAGCTGGTTCATTAATCACTGTATTACTGACACAGGCTGTCTTACCATTAAAGATCCATGTTAAAGTCACTAAATAGCATTTCTTTTAAACTAGTGACTAGTGATTTTGACTGTATCAGAGACACTGCAATTAAATACACTATGCAAACACATGGATGCAAATACTAATTATTACCAACTGCCTTATTGGATGTTCCTTGTCCTTAAGTATCGATGTCAGAATAATTATAATACAATATAATAATTTCCTTATTTTGTTTTTATGTGGTTAGGGTTATTAGAAAAATTACGTTCCAAATCTGACATTTAGAATAATCATTCATATACCATGTAGTTGGTAAATGGATGGCACACAAACAAATATTCATGCAGTTCCCTTTTCCCTGTAAACTAACCTGAATCAATTTATATAAATATAAATTTCAATTCAAATACATTCAACAAATTCTCTCTGAGGAAATTCATCAAACTACTGATATCAGTTGAATAATTCCACTCCTACAAATACATGAAGATGGCAATATGTAGTGTGTAATTTTAACACATGAGCACTGTAGAGAATAAATTTTTATTCTTAAATTGTTATGCGAATGTCACAGATGGTTCAATCAGAACAGAACAGCTCTCGGTATAGCTCTTCTTATGACGAACAATTTAGTATCAAATTGAATTAAATAATATATTAAATTAAATTAAATATCCAGGCTATTGTGAAACGAAGTGTTTTTATTATTATTATTAATATTATTATATGATCTACTCACCTCCACTGGGTAGGAAAAACTGAGAGAAAAGATAATATTACTACTGCTAATAATTTTATTAGTGTACTAGTGAACTTCCCGTTGTGAAGGGCAGTCATACAATTTACAATTGCAGCTAATAATTTCTGTTTCAGTTGTGAAACAGTCCATGTTACAGCAAAACAAAACAAAAAAGGTAATGTACTAAATAGATATTTATTAACTGAACGTAGTTACAGTGCATCAAATTAATAAATGTCTATGAAGAAAAACTGTTGAAAGTACAATATGCAGTGCTTCTGAACATATGCCATTTGACTGAAATGCAGTCAAAGGTCGCAATACTTGTTATGCTAACTACTACTGCTACCAATAATAATAATAATAATAATAATAATAACAACAACAACCAACGTTATGCATTGCTAATTTGAAAGCTAGAAACAAACTAGTGAACTTAATATTTACCTAACCACAATCTAGCAACACTGCCTAATCTTAAACTGAGTGATTCATCCACTAGCGAGTGGTCGTTAGCAATTATCAGATGAAAGATTATTTAAAAATTCATGTGCAGTTAAGTATAAAGCTCGTCGAAGAATATTTACCAGAAACACTGAAAAATAGTGCCGTCCGCCACTCCTGTGTTACTGTGACTTTCTCATTTTCAGTGCTAGCCAGCCACCTAGCAAGCTAGCTAGCGAAATAACAAACATATCAAAAGTCATACAGCATTCCTTGACGTTCAAACGTTTTCCCTTAAATGAAAATATTTAGATGTTTGAGTTTGGCGTTGTGATTGCGGTCTAACTGCGCAGACCCACCTATCTCTGTGTGACTGGTCTCGCTTGCAGTTGACGTTTGCTTATCGCGCAGTTACTATTGCAGCCTTGATGTTACCAGACATAGTATTTACATACGCAGAAAACGTCACTGATCAGACGGAAACGTCAACGTGTCACATGGATAAGACTCAGATTTTTTTTGACGCTAACAAAATAAAATATAAACTAATCACAATAGCTCTGGGAACATATGATCACGGGTACAATAAGCAGATATAATATCATGTCAAAAACCACAATTTGTCGTCAATAGTCTTCAGTATCGTGTAAATTTTATGAACTTAAAACGTGAGTTGCCTGTCAGAACAGTACAATATACAATTAAGTTTCAATTTTAGCACTCTTACATTATACAGTTGTCCTAGAAGAAAGAAGTTCCATCAATTATTAGGCTAATATGTCTGAAAAATTGTACCACCTTTTTAAAACAGAAAAAATAATGCCATTCAGAATATAATTGTGTGAACTGTAAAACAAAGAATGAATGGTTTGAACGTCCTTTTCACGTAAAGAACGACAACGAGATAACAAAGAGAAATGCTGTAAAATAACCTACTTGATAACCAAGTGCATGGTCATAACTAGGACTGTAAAAGTATGAGGCAACTGACATATATTCAGAAAGCTCTAAACTTGAGGCATGCCCTAGAAATAATCTACTGTAATGAATCTTTCACATATCCCAGCGTACTCTCCTTAAAAGACTCAGACTTTGTTCAGGATTGTTTTGCGAAAAAATGCGACTAAACGGGAAAAACAACGCACAAATGTATCAAAAATATCTAGGTCTAAGAATAAATCATTACAAGACTAAAAAAAACGCTTATTCAAATAGAAAGAACTTATTGTACCAAAATAAATCCTTTTCAATTAGAAGTTACTTAGTGGGTATATGTCCTTCGGTATGAACAGAGAAGGAAGCTACAGTTATTTGAAATAAATTCAACCGTGACTTTATTGTTGACTGCCTCCCGTCATCCATATTGCTTTTGCTTGAGCCTATGAAACTGAATGCGGAAGTAGAAACTTCACTGTGGGGGTTCAAGGTTCCGCCTTTACGTTCTCCATAGTTTCTCTACAGCTGTGAGGATAGTATATATATTTTATCTATCTATACTTTTTTATAACCAGGGATCAATAAAGAGGTATATTATTTTAACTGAAACGTGAGATATGGCTGGACGGTTACCTGCTTGCGTAGTCGATTGTGGCACAGGGTAAGTTAAGTAAAATTCTTTACACACAAAGGGGCGGGTATACAGATGTTTGCTTTTCAGAGTAGGGTATATATTTTAGTAAAATAGATTAAAATCACGCCGTGATTGCTGTTACTTGTATGTAGCATGCGAATTATACTAACGAGATATTTGAGGCAATTGCATCTTAATATAATTTGTATTTTATTGCGTTTAATGTAATGAGAGCTGCATAAGAAACACTGTTATCGCTTACTGGCAAGTCACTTCCACCATCATCAAAAAAAATCACCTTCCTGTCGGAATAAAGCTTTTCGTTGTAGGTATATTGTAGGTATCTTAGTCTGAAATTAATATATGAAAGGTTCTTCTAACATTTATTTTATTATTAATCACATTTTGCATTATATATATATATATATATATATAATATATATATATATATATATGTGTTGTTCAAATAACTGTATATATATAGTGTTTTTCTGGTTGATTATTTCATATTTTGAGGCATATTAGTGTACATTATCTTTGCCTGAGCGAAAACATACGTCTTCCTCACTTTGAAAAAACCGCTTCCTCATTCAACCATCTATTCCATATATGGTATTTCTCGGAGTCCGAATTTTTTTTTTTAGCCATCTAATAATGTTTTTTTTTTTTAAAAAAAACTTAGCATTGTAATACCGTGCAAGCGAAGCTAAAGCTTTATGGTGAGTCCACATGTGAACTGTAAAATTATACGTGTTTCTGGTTTCCTGTGTAGCCGAAAAGAATGAAATGGTTGCTTTTTGTGTGATTACTTACACTTAAATTACTTACACTATTATGAAGACATCTGGCGCTCAAGTTAAAATGTAAATCGGTACTGACAAGTTCTTTAATCGGATACAATTGTCAGCATATAATGTTGCTTGCTGCAGAGTTTGACCTGATTATTTAAACGAATCATGTCCTTTTAAAAGAAATCTAGAAATACCTTACACCGTGACAACGAGTTCGACAGACTAGGCAAGCAAATAAATTTTACTGGGCAAGTCCGGAATTCCCTTCATATTATTGATGGATACGGATACTGATCTTCTGTCGGAGGATTCAAGTTTGGCAGGAGTTATATCAGCATTGTCATGACCCTCATACATTACAATTTAAATTGTTCCTGTTTTGTGACATCCTTTGAACTTATTTGAAGAAACAAACAAAAAAAAAAACCTGCTACCTGTTTCTGTTCATCTTCCATTCTGCTTATCCAGTACAGAGTTTTAGGGAGCCTGGAGCCTATTTCATGTAGAATAGGCCCCAAGAGAGATGTCAGACCATAACACACAAAAAGACAGACAGAAAAATCACATACATTGGGCAGTTTAGTTTACTTATTTGTTCTTGGATTGCAGAAGGGAAAGTGAGTACCTTGAGGAAACACACCCAAATTCCACAGACATAGATCTGAGGCTGATATTTGACACCCCCCCTCCCCAACACACACACACACACACACACCTTCTGGCTGACATAGCAGTCTTTTTCCACCACAACCTACTGCTTTAAGTAATTTTTATAGATGTTTACAAGACAGTCTTACATAGCAAAATCTGGAAAAATGGTTTTAAACACTAAGAACCTTTGAGGAACTATTGTGTGCTTAGTGTTTTGTGTTAAGTTTGGATTATAGCAGCTGTACAACAATTAGTTTTTCAAAGGGGGTAGTGTCATACTCAGTGAGTTAGGATGCGGTACTTGTGATCGGAACTGGTTGCTGGGTCAAATCTCAGGCTCAGCACAATGGTTTCACTTTTGGATCCCCTGAGCACACCCTTTAACCCTGGACTGAATTTATTTCCTATTGAAATAATTATAAAGCAGTGTATGTGGAATGATACAAGATGTTTCTTTCAGATACACAAAACTTGGATATGCTGGCAACACAGAACCACAATTTATTGTTCCGTCATGTAAGTATTCCATCACAGTTGAATCTGAACAATCTTCACGGATTAAAACATTGTTCTTTAATGTATTAGTCCTCTTGGATAAAGTGATTGTTTTTAGAGCTGCAAAAAAAATGTCATTTTGAATTTTGATCGTTGATTAATCATGTGATCAGGCAATCAACTATCCGATGACTTTGGTCAAAACATATGGTTTAAAGAAAAGTGCAAATGCTTTATTTAGAAAAATCTAGTTATTTTTAAAGTCACAGGTGTCATAAAAAAAACTTTACACAGCTGGGATAATCTAGGAGTGTAACAGTACGCACAGTTCATGGTTAGGAACACACCTCAGTTTTGGTTTCACGGTTCTGTGCAGTTTCGATACAGCAGGGAAACAGAATTTGTTTTGAAATTATTACTAAAATTGCCAACACAATTAGGAACAGTTATACACCAAATATAAGTCAATGAATCTGTCGAATAACAAAACCTAAGAGGTGCTTATTTGCACACTAAAAAAAAATATGTAAAATAAAATTTCAAAAATAAGACTGCATCATAACAATCATATTAACCTAAACAATGTATACTGTATTATACAGAATATGGTCGCATATGTGTAGCGATAAACACCCTTTTAACCATGGGCGTAAATTACGGGGGAGTGGGGGGGTTGTAACCCCACCCCAATTAAATCAAAATCAGCTAATATAACGCTTCAGTAATCATGAAGATCTCAGCCCCCCTAATGTTCAGAAATGTTCAAACCAAAGTTACGTCCTTGCCTTTAACCAAATTTGTTTGATTGTTTCTGTGTGTGTGTGTTTTAACCTGGTCTGAATTTTCTGGGTAAGCATCTTAAATACCCCAGGGAGTCTACCTTGCAGAGACATTTTCTGCCTTTCTTTGGTCATACATACATTCAGATGATGTTGTCTCAAATGAGTTAACATGTTGGATGTGTTTCCAGTAGCATCTTTAAGTTGAGTGACAGATAGTCTTGGTCTTATTAACTGCTCTCTCTCTGGTGTTGGTGCAAATTATTGGGAGATGAAAATGTTCTCCAGCACTAGCTGTAACTGACTCACAACCACAATTAGCATAATGTTTTCCATGGTCAATATCTACTTGTGGATTTATGTTTTGCCCGTATCAGGAAATGCATTCATTCGTTTAAAAAATTATGTAACCTTATTGTTACAGCTCTACATAAATCTCTGTTTACTATATTGGTTTGGCAAATGCTGCAGGATACTGACAAGCAGGTATAGAAAATCAATGGACAAATGGTACATTCTGCTAACACTAGTGCCAAGTTTTGTCACATGCAGAAATATACACTGTACTACTGTGTAGTGAAATGCAAAGTAATGTAATGAAGATAAAATAAAGATAAAATGACTACAAAATAGTCTAAAAATAGAGAGCAGTGTTTTGTTATTCATTTGAAATTTCATACTTGGAACTAAATAGGCTTTATTTATTTATTTGTTTTTTATTAAAAAAAGATATTCTAAAGTACCGAAGTCACTTTGGGCAAACCATAGTGGAAAATAAATAATATTATTTTACGTTCCATTGATTTCCATTCCATTGTTTCAGTATAATACTATGTTACACTATTATACTGATAGTAAATGGAACAACATTTGAGATTTATAATATACTAATTTATATACATGAATTTATTTGTGAGTCTGTCAAGTTACCGTACTTAATTTTTTTGAAAATTGTATGTGGTAGGGTAGTTTTATGGCCTAACACCCATTTCATCAAGTGTGACAAGTTTCCAGTGATAACATTTTCATACTTTCTTTACAGGTATCGCCATCAAAGAGTCAGCCAAAGTGGGAGACCAGGCCCAGCGCAGAATGATGAAGGGAGTGGATGATTTGGACTTCTTTATTGGTGATGAGGCCATAGACAAACCAAACTATGCAACAAAGGTAATATGTTTTTATCAACGGGTAAAGTACGGAGAGTAGGGGTTTAAAACAGGCTTCCTATGGCATGTAAGGCCAAAGCTGCAACTAGGCTTTATCATCTAATGTTTGTCTTTACGCTACACATGAAATTAAACTATCTAAAAAATTTTAAATAATTACTCGTTTGGCCATAACTTACAAATCCGAACGATTTTATGTCTTGAATATCATAATGCCCCGTGCCTAAAAGAAATATCAAATGTAAACACGATTTGTCCACAAAACTAAAAACTAATATTGCTTTCATACAAACTGGTAAATGAGCACAAGCTTCCACAACATCTCAAATCACTAATACTTTACATTTTTACTATTCAGATTTTGATTTATCTACAATGGAAAAAGTTGAAGATGGATTTGATACCACTGTTAGAACAAGAAAATAAATGTACTGCACTGTTCCAAATAAAGTTAATGTGACTAAATGTAGTAAAAATAAATCAATTCACATTATTGCATTCGTATAATAATTATTGCCTGTCAACAGTGGCCAATTCGTCATGGCATCGTGGAAGACTGGGACCTGATGGAAAGATTCATGGAACAAGTCATTTTCAAGTACCTGAGAGCAGAACCTGAAGACCATTACTTCCTCTTGGTAAGAGCCTCGGTCATCAACCAATATAAATCATCCTGTAAAATATCATGAAATATACAAATTTGGATATTATTTACAATAAGAATGCAGTTCTTCTTTGTACAAGCTGCCAAGCTGCCAAAATTTACTATTGCCTGCTATGTTGGAAAAAAACAGTAAATGCCTACACTTTGCTGACTGGTATATATATTCTGGTTCTTTCATGTGCCGTAATCGGCTTTTAAATGATTTAGTTTGTATAGAAGCATTTATTCTGTTGCATTTTACGTCCTTATTGAAAAATATTAAAAACCCAATGAATTAAGTTACAACAAAGTACACATTTATTCATTTAGTTATATATAATTATCCAAATAAATTGTTGTCCATAGCTTTAAATAGAGCACCCTGTTGTTTATCATTTTCAATATTGAAATTGTTTTGCAGACTATACCTTCACATCTATGCATTTTCCATAACTGCTTATCTAGTGTAGGGGTACAGTTTACCCTGACCCAAGAAGCACAGGAAACACAGTATGAAGAATCAAGAGACATCACTTGATCTAATCACTTTTTTGGGGGGGTTTTGAAAGCCGGAGTACCTTATTCCTTGTTTTAATGCAGTAGATACAGAACTCAAAGTGAGTACACTTTAGACAGGGTGCTAGTATGCTGCAAGACATTACCGGTACATACAATTAACTGGAATGGAAATTTGGAATCTATAATTCGTGTAACTTGCCTTTATGTATGTCTAGAGGAGATTAAAAAGTGGATGACTCATAATTTCCTTTTTCTTAATGAAAGTAAATCCAAAGTAATTTTATTTGTCCAGCATACAGGTATTGATTCCTTAACACAGAATCTAGATCAGTTTTCCTTGCACATACAAACATCTGCCATCTGCCTGGGTGTTTTTTTTACCCTGATTTAAAATTTGACAGGCAGATAGGGCTGCCACAATTAGTTGATGTAGTCGATTTTATGTAGTGGTTTTAGACCACAATAATTTATTAGCATGATGTAGAGTCTCCTTTTGCGACCAGTACAGCATCAGTTAGTCTTGGGAATGACAGGTACAAGTCCTGCACATTGGCCAGAGGGATTTTGAGCCATTCCTTTTGCAGAACAATGGCCACTACATGATACTGGGGGAGGAAAATGTTTCCTGACTCGCGGTGAATGTACAGGCCATGTTCAATTCACTTTCATGTTCATTAAACCACTCTGCAACCAGTCTTGCTGTGTGTATTGGTGCACTATCATCCTCATACCATCACTGATAAACCCTCGTCCCTTACTCCGGGTTCACAACAGTCTGGGTGGTAAGCCTCTTTGGGGCCTCTCCACACTGTAACTCTCCCGGATGTGGGAAAGGCAGTGAAGGTGAACCTGTCAGAGAACAATACATGTTTCAAAATGTCCACAGTGCAAGATTTTTGCTGCTGGCACCATTGAAACTGACATTTGACATTGGCATGGGTGACCAAAGGTTTGGCTATAGCAGCCTGACCATGAATATTGACCCTGTGGAGCGCCCAACGAACAGTTTTGGTGGACACAGGAGAGTCGAGGTGCACGTTCAATTCTGCCGCGAGTTAGGCAGCTGAGGTTTTAGGTTTTTTGGATACAATCCGGTTTAGTGCCCCGGCATCCCTAGCAGTCGGCTTCCTCTTGTGTCCAGTTACTCCTGTTGGATGTGATCCATCCATCGTGGTGGTATGCCGATGCTAACTTGGATACCATGGCTCTCAATTCACCACAAAGACTTGCTGTGCTAGTGACAAATGCATCAGGGAGATGCACACCAAAAATTTTTCCTCTTTTGAACTCTATGTCTGTAAAAAATATATATATGACACACACACACACACACACACACAAAGAGCATTCCAGGATGCAAGACTGTAACTACGATGTGCAAGTTACTAATTTTTGGAGTTGCATTCCCCAAACCCTATTTTTCCCATTAGATACAGTATATGTATTTCCATATGCAATTTTAGTGAACACAAGCTTTTTCAGGAATGCATTAGTTGCATTGTAACAGGGCTGACTTGTACATTGAAAACCGGTTCCCATTAAGCTACTTCTCTGCTTCTATTAATGTGTTGTTTTCTTAATATGTTTATTGACTTGAAAAGTCCATGACGTCCAACACTTTCAATAGCTTGATTATTATTATGATATGATGTGCTTGAATTTAACCTACATGGCTGGTGATTAGCTTGTGACGCTGTCCCCCATTCACCTACAGACGGAACCTCCTTTAAACACACCTGAAAACCGGGAGTACACAGCAGAGATAATGTTTGAGTCTTTTAATGTTCCAGGACTCTACATTGCTGTTCAGGTAATATATGTGTGTGTGTTTGTGTGTGTGTGTGCGAGCGGGTTTACCTATCCTTATGGGGACACAATGTCCCCATAACGTGATAAATATCCGTTTTTTTTCCCTTATGGGGACCGGTTTCCTGGTCCCCATAAGGGAAAACTCTATTTTATAAAAAATGGTGACTTGCTATGAAAAAACTAAAAATGCAAAAACTCTTGTATTTTGTTAGGTTACTTATGGTTACGGTTAGGGCAGGGTAGGGGTTAAGGTTGTCATAGTTAGCGTTAGCGTTTTTCCCATTGAAATGAATGAGCGGTCCCCATAAGGATATATTTACCCTACGTGTGTGTGTGTGTGTGTGTGTGTGTGTGTATATATATATATATATATATATCGCTGGAAGGTGTTGTGACATGTTCAAATCAAATTTATACTTAATCACTGTTTATTTATATACTAGGCTTTAAGTGCTGCTATGTAACATACAATGATAACAAATGTAATAAGTGCCATTTTGTGGGCATCCAAAGTGTACAGGAGTTACTGCTGAAATGTATCTAACAGCACTGCTATCTCTCCAGGCTGTTCTCGCTTTGGCAGCCTCCTGGACGTCTAGACAAGTGGGGGAGAGAACACTGACTGGGACAGTCATAGACAGTGGTGATGGCGTGACCCATGTTATCCCTGTGGTGAGTATGAGTGACAGCTGTCCCCCTTCTTCAAATATGCATTATGGATTTTGTGACTTACAATGATCTATGTATGCTTTTTAGCATGCAGTGGTTTAAGGTCACTCTGACTCTGTTTAATAACCCAAGAAAATCTTTTGGAGCACCATTAAGAATGCAGTGATCACAAAAAATACCTGTAGATGAATAAATGCAAATCAATAAAACGTTTAATAATAAAAGCTTTAATTATACGTCAAAAGAAAAGGTTATATCTGATTTTTTCAAAAGCAGATAAATGGACATGGCTTAATGCCCCCTCCCACCATTTTTTAAAAAAATGTAAAATAAATAACATTTCAAAAATAATACTGCGTAATAATACTCACAATGAACTAAATTCTGTGTTCCTTCCTTCCTACCGAGTATGGTCACTTATCTGTAGCAATAAACACTCCTTTAGCTGTATCTATTTTTATAGCCCAGTTTCCCTGCCAAAACTGCCTTGAATGGCACGGGGAGACTTTCTTGGGCTATTTCTGCATTGCTCTGGTCGTACACACACTCGGGTGATGTCTCAAATGAGGTAGCATGTTGGATATGTTTCCAGCAGTATCGGTCCTAGCCGGCATCACCACCAGTGCCCCCCGTCTGGGGCAAAGTGAAATTGACTGGCAGGTTGGCAACCCCTCAGAGGCTGGGGCAGTAGGCGGCTGCCTATGTCACCTGTGCTCTAGTTCTCATTTGTACATGTTACTTACATATAGTAAAGATTTCAACCAAATAACTCCAAAGATTGGGTCATACTGTTATAAGTCAAATAATTAAGCCTTGGTCAGCCCACAAATTCATTGGTGGTTTTTAATATGGCCCTTGCATTGACTGAAATACCCCAAACCTAAAGCATGTGCTTTGGGGTGTTTACAGAATTTAAAAACGTGTCTATGACAAGAGCAGTAAATTTGCTGTATTTTTGTAGTTAATAAATGCCTTTTTCAGTATATTTTGATTTATGCTTTTGATTTGTTTGGTGTTAATGTGTTTTAATGTGTATTTCTTCATGATTGCTAAATGCCTGCCAGTTTAAACATACTTGTTCATTCTATTTTAGGCAGAGGGGTATGTGATTGGAAGCTGTATAAAACACATACCCATTGCTGGACGGGACATCACATACTTCACCCAACAGCTCCTAAGGGAAAGGGAGGCGGGAATTCCTCCTGAGCAGTCCTTGGAGACAGCTAAAGCCGTCAAGGTCTGCTTCTTTTCCCACCCTCAGAAATCACTGTTGTCACAGAAATGACTAATAGATAAGCAGTCACCAAGTGACTTTGAAAAGTGCAGATCTTAATATGGTTAATATCTGAATAATTTGATACTAATTAATGGATGTAAAGACAGACAGATGTGTAATTACTGTATTAACTTCAGTGATTTCAAGCATTATGAAAAGCTTTATTATTCATACTGAAGGCTGTTTGTATAAGTGGCACACTCATAACAGGGAAAATGTTTTCATCCATGTGAGTTGTCATATATTGTGTAGACTGTAAGTCAGGGACAGTCTGCATTCTGTTAGAGATGGCTGGTTGATTACCTGTGGTGGGCTTTCACTAGACACAGTACTGAGCCAAAATGATTGGTATTAATAATTGTTTAGACCATTTTTAAGCAATCCCATATGAGTTTTGCATGCACCTCTACACTATTCACATTAGATGTTTCCTGCTATAAGAAGCATCTGGTTGCTGAGAGAAAATAAAGGTTTTAGTGTGAGAATTTCACATTATTCAGACTTTCCTTATCTTCTTGTTCATTTGTTTTTACAGGAACGATTCAGTTATGTGTGTCCAGATTTAGTAAAGGAATTCAACAAATATGACACAGATGGGTCCAAATGGATGAAACAGTACACTGGCATCAACTCCATTAGCAAGAAGGAGTTCACCATTGATGTGGGTTATGAACGCTTCTTGGGCCCAGAGATCTTCTTCCATCCAGAGGTACCTAGAGAAAAACTAGACCTACCAATTTGTAAGACTGAACACCGCATTCGTCCTCTCAGCTCTTACAAGGGTCTTTCCTCTTTAGTTACTAATTGCTTGATGAAAGTTCTCATTTTTTGTTAACTTTCACCTCTGTTGTAGAGATGGTATATTTACATTAAACGATTTAATGAACTTTTGTTAGCCTTATCAATGTTTTCTTCATCTGTAATGCAAATTGGTAACGGTATGTTGTTGATTTTCAAAATGTGAAAAGTTTGCCATGTTCACCATGCTCTCAGGAAATTAAACCTCCCTTGCTTTTTCCACAGTTTTCTAACCCTGACTTCACCCAGCCCATTTCTGAGGTTGTGGATGAAGTAATTCAGAACTGTCCCATTGATGTCAGACGTCCTCTTTATAAAGTAAATCCCATTACCGCCTCAGTTCTCATGGGACCTCGGTTTTAATTTGTGTTTGAAAATGTATTCACTCTCTGTTGTGCAATCGTACACTAATTTTATCTGGCCTCATAGCCATTCCTTTTGAATTCTGATTCTGAATATCCTTTAAATGATTAATGTAATAACACAATGGTGGTAGACAGAAGATGTTGAATCAACAAGCATTATTGTTTCTCAATTCCTACAGTAAACTTAATACTATTTAATGTTGTATTATATTCAGATGTTGCAGATGTGCATATTAAAGAGGCTTTTTCCCTTGCAGAACATTGTCCTTTCTGGTGGCTCAACTATGTTCAGGGATTTTGGCCGTCGGCTGCAGCGAGATTTGAAGAGGACAGTCGATGCTCGATTAAAAATGAGTGAAGAGCTTAGCGGTGGGAAGATAAAAGTAAGCATATTTTTTATGGGCAACTGAGAGGGGAAATCTGGCCATAATAAAAATAATAAATCTTTATTTGTATAGCACCTTTCTTACAAAGGAATGCAGCCCAAAGTGCTTTACATTCATTAAAACAAATCCTGATGTTCAAATCCGCGAAATATGTAGAAGATTGGAAAAATCAAATAAAAACATTAAAAAGCAGATAATAAGATAAAAAGCAGATAAAGTAGATAATAGAGTTGTATAAAATAAACAGTAAAACAGTGCTAATCAGTCAGTGACTCCACTAAATCTGAAAATCATCTTAAAGTATCAGAAAATGATTGATTTGTAGCTGACTGTATCTGTGTTTATCTTTGTTTTGTAGCCAAAACCAATTGATGTGCAAGTACTAACCCATCATATGCAGAGATATGCCGTTTGGTTTGGAGGATCTATGTTAGCTTCAACTGTAAGTGTTTTTTCCCCACTTTCTTGAAACTGCAATTGATGTGCATTAGTTTGTTTTAAAAAATTGAATTTACAGTCTGTTCATTTTGTGGAACCTGGTAGACGTAGACAATATAGTTGTTTTAAACCTGCACTCATACGTCAGCCCACTTCACAAATTTAAAGATAGAATGGGAATGCAGTGTTAAATGAGGGAAAAAAGTATTTAAAAAAAAAAAAAAGAAACCTGCAAAATAACGCATATATTGAAATGGTTTTATATGGCAATCCTAAATTTATTTTTACAGTATTAAATTAGTAATCATCATGCATAGTTCCAGGATTTTCAGATTTTAGTTGTTTAGATTTAAATCTGTAGGGCATCGTAATATATGCTTGAATTTCAAGAAGAGGCTTGACTGTGAATACGAGGGAACACATTTGAAATGGTTCCTGAATATTGTGGGAGAAGGTTACAAAAAAATTCCAGGAAATCTTGAATTAATTCATTTCATTTCAAGTACAAGGTTAGATTTACTTTATTGAATTAAGAATTCATTGAATGCTGGTAAATCCTATTGTGAATCTTATGAAAACTATGAAAATGTAACTGGTAAACAAGCATCTTGGGAGAGGTTCAACATATGCATCATGACAGTCTAGACAAAATAGTAAAAAAACCTGTTGCTGTAATTGCTGCTTCCACAAAAAATGTGTTGTATATCTTAGTACATTTTTCCATTACATTAGTTTTGAACTTAATTTTAGCTTTTTTGTAGATTTTTCTAATAAGTTACCATCCCACTGAAGCCTTCAGTTTGATTAACATATAAATTTACATTTAAATTAAACATTTATATTATCTGCCGGATTTATCTGATCATCAAACATTCAACTTTTGCCTGTCTCTCCCTTTGTCAGCCGGAGTTTTATCAAGTCTGCCACACCAAAAAGGACTATGAGGAAATCGGGCCCAGTATTTGCCGCCATAATCCTGTGTTTGGAGTCATGTCTTAAGTGCTGACCTTTGCACTTGTATGCTTTGGTTGGGTGTATCTGAATGGGTCACTTTTGTTTAAAAGAATATTATTATATGAATTATGAAACAAATACAGCCCATATGCATTAAAGCTTTAAAATTGTACCTTTTTTAATGTTTCTAAGCAAAAAAAAAAAAGTTTTTTTTTCTTTTATATTTTCAGAGCAATGTGTGGAATAACAAGAATGATAAAATTGTTGATAATTTGTAAACCTTATGGTTATAGGTTTTGGATATAGTTCGGAATGTTATATGCCCAAATTTTTGTGTTGTTATCCAGATTGTTGCATATGAATATATTTTGACATCTGTCTTGTTTATATCTGAATGAAATGTACAAAAAAATCTTGTTTATATTTCTTAAGTTTCATATGTAAAGCTGGGTGATTTCAGGAATTATAATATAATGTCAACAAAGTAACACTGTTAACCTGACTTGAACATTTATTTTTCTTTTATGACTGTGGAGTAGCTGTTAGTCACCCTTTCTCTGTACTCTTGTCCCTGCTTAAGAGCTTTCCTTAAAGGCAATATTATTGATAATTTATAATTGGTATTACATAACAGTGACAATAATAATGATTTGAATTGTTGGACCGGCATTTTCTTAAAGGTGCAGAATAAATATTGTGCACTTAATTTCTCACAGCATTGCAAAACTGGAACACACATTTTCTACCTGTTTATAAAATTGTTTTTCTCTTTCCACCACTATTGTCACTTTGGAGAAAAAAATAAACTGCAACTGTAAACACAGTGAATGGTGGAGATATCATCTTGTGTTCCTGGATTCAAGAAATTAAAGTATTCTGACTTTTCCGCAGTCTCATGTAGCTGCCTTAAAGGGAAATATTTGTATTTACTTGAAAACTGCCAAAAACATGTACCACTTAGCAATATAAATGGTTTGGTATTGCAGAATAAATGTGATGTATGCTTTTTTTATAATAGAGCATATATAAGGTCAGAACAGACATCCACTTAACTCTTCCATCCATTTTCCTATAATGTTATCCAGTACAGCATCACAGTGAGCCTGAAGCTTATATGCAGCACAGAGAACAAAAAAGGATTTCTCGCCCATATCTCTTACAATTAAACGTTTCTCCTGGATAGTAGTAAATTAAATGTCTAAATAGCAGTTTACTAAAAGTGGTCACAAATAGCAGACACTTCATAATGCATAATGTGAAATATATGCAATGAAAAACTCAATGGAAATTTTCTGTTGACTTACGTAACAGTACGTGTTTTGGAGGTGTTGTTGCCTGAGTACCACTTGTGACCTCTAATGAAATCACTTGTTCTTGCTCTCTTTGCAATCTCCACAAGCTGTATGGTAAGAACAGGCAATGTGAATGTCCAGTTTCGATTTATTTCCACATACATTTCCATGTCACTCATTCACACTTACAAGTTACCTAGAACTGTTCATAATTTGGTATCACTGATGCACGAACTTTGGCTTTATGAGCACACACTTGTCATTGACGTTTTTGGATCGCTAATGTCTTTTCATGCTCCTGATTGTGTCCTTCCTCTATTAAATCCTGAGTTTTACCCCAACTTCTGGGCTCTGGTGCTTCCCTTCCCGTCGTGTTCTCAGTGCATCATAACACAGGTTAAGATCTTGACCCATAAAATGTACTGCAAAGTTTGGAAGAGATTGGCCAAATAATGGTTGAGTTATCATGCTGACAAGATCAAATGTCTGAGCTGACCTTCTTTTTGCTGTCACAATGTGACATTCCTTCTATTTTGGTGAAATTTGTCTCAAAATTAGATCAGGTCCAGATCTTCAGCCTAACAACAACTATACAAAAGAATGAAAAAGATCTGTCAAAAACAGTGGGACCTCAAGATCCATGGTTTCAGTTTAAAAAAAAAAAGTTTTAAAATTCCAGAAACAGTTCATAAGTTTAAACCGAGCAAGTACAGGCTATAAGCCGACGAGTACCCACAATACCCACCAAAATGCAGTGTACTGAAGCTGTACCCATGCATTGTGACCTGTCATGTGAGTGTTGGAACTGTATTTGTGAAGTTATGTTCTGTCTGAACTGTAACTATTAACCATTGTTAAGTAGCTTGATTATGAAATATTTGCATGTGAGCTATAACATTAGCAGGGCTACTGCTGCTTTAAAAACTAATCGTTATTTTAATGTATTTGATTGATTTACATGACTAATGTTAATACACAATTAGTACACTTGTGTCTTGTTCTCAGCTCTAGTGTTTGGTTAATTGTTTCGGTCTGCAGCTGTCCTGGGTATGGCATAAAACTGCATTTAGCCCTGCAAGCAGTCCTCCAGCTTGCGGGGAAAACATTTTGGGTGTTGGTAACGGGAAATGAGCATGACACCCTTCTGCTCTTCACAGGAGTTGCTCTGCTGCAGTCATCCACATGAAGGGTGTACGTATCATGAAGGGGATGGGGAAAGCCTTCAGGAGCCTCATCCCCGGAAGAGTGGAAACTGTCAGAGAGCTAATAGGGTCAGGCCTGTTGGGGATCGGGGCTGCATGGTGCTGAGGTGTCATTTGCTGCACGGCAGCACTTGGGACCCAGTCTGAGGTGGCCCATCTGGGTAGGTGCATGGAACATCTTGTTAGATGTCCGTCTTCCTCTGCTGTCAGATCTCTGTAGGTGGACACACCTACTTTTGGTCAGCTCGCTCTGATGGCTGCCATACTCAGGAAGTAGCTGTTACTATGTTGGATTGGCTTTTCTCAGTGGTGTCTGATGTCACTCCTTTCAATGTATTTCAGCGTATTATGAGACTCAGGCTAAGGCACTCCTTGGGTGTCTTGTCTATTGTCTCAGTATATGTTCCGACTGCAGTGAGTGATGTCTTGTTGAGTGAGACTTTTACTTACAACTTCGCTCGGTGGTTGATGAATGCCATGAGCTTATACTCCATTATACTCCTTTTGTCATAGGTGACTTCAATGCAACCACTGGCACTGACAGGGCTGGCTATGAGGATTGTGCCAGTCCCCATGGGTCTGGAGACCAGGGTGAGAGTGGCTCCATGTTCCTTGACTTTGTGAAAGGTCAGGGACTGCGGGTTGCTGGATCCTGTTTCCAACGCCCTGAGCCTGTTTCCAAGCGCTTCAGAGAGTGATCTGTGCAGCAGAACGCTGCTGCAGGTCAGCTCTCCCTTCAATGCAGGTCATTTACACAAGATGTAGATACATAGCCATAGGGATTCTAAAAGACCCCTCACATCCTGGTAACAAACTATTTCAGCTTCTGCAATCAGGCAGAAGGTTCCGCAATATCATGGCCAAGACAGGAAAACTCAGAAGGAGTTTTCATCCTCAGGTCATTCGACTCCTCAATCAGGACACGCCCCCTTCTCTTTACACTATAGTATTATAGTACAGTATATGATTATAGTACTTTTATACTATACTGGACAGCAACCTTCTCGGTGTCTCATTCTCATCGTCATCGTTCCATACAATGCACTATAACTTATAACTGCATATCGCACGTCTCTAAATCAAATCTGTATTGTATTCAAAGTTCTATTTTAAGTTTTTTTATCATATCCTTTGTAACTATATTCTTGCTTATTCCTTCATAAATTATTCCAATAGTTGCACAGTCAAAAGAGTGGCTCAGGATACATTTCACTGCCTGTTGTACCTGTATAACTATGCATGTGACAATTAAAGAATCTTGAATCTTGGACTTGGTGCCCCAATACTGGTAGTGTGGCAAAGGAGATCAATCACACCCTCATGGGCAGACACTGGAGGCTCCTGCAGAATTGCAGGGTCTATAGAAGTGCCCAGTTTGTGAATTCTGACCACAGACTTGTTGCTACTTTAAAGATTCAGCTTAGGTCCAGTATGCTACCACCTACTAGGTGAAATATCCAGCACAACATTATACACTCACCTAAAGGATTATTAGGAACACCATACTAATACGGTGTTTGACCCCCTTTCGCCTTCAGAACTGCCTTATTTCTACGTGGCATTGATTCAACAAGGTGCTGAAAGCATTCTTTAGAAATGTTGGCCCATATTGATAGGATAGCATCTTGCAGTTGATGGAGATTTGTGGGATGCACATCCAGGGCACGAAGCTCCCGTTCCACCACATTCCAAAGATGCTCTGAGATCTGGTGACTGTGGGGGCCATTTTAGTACAGTGAACTCATTGTCATGTTCAAGAAACCAATTTGAAATCATTCGAGCTTTGTGACATGGTGCATTATCCTGCTGGAAGTAGCCATCAGAGGATGGGTACATGGTGGTCATAAAGGGATGGACATGGTCAGAAACAATGCTCAGGTAGGCCGTGGCATTTAAACGATGCTCAATTGGCACTAAGGGGCCTAAAGTGTGCCAAGAAAACATCCTCCACACCATTACACCACCACCACCAGCCTGCACAGTGGTAACAAGGCATGATGGATCCATGTTCTCATTCTGTTTATGCCAAATTCTGACTCTACCATTTGAATGTCTCAACAGAAATCTAGACTCATCAGACCAGGCAACATTTTTCCAGTCTTCTACTGTCCAATTTTGGTGAGCTTGTGCAAATTGTAGCCTCTTTTTCCTATTTGTAGTGGAGATGAGTGGTACCCGGTGGGGTCTTCTGCTGTTGTAGCCCATCCGCCTCAAGGTTGTGCGTGTTGTGGCTTCACAAATGCTTTGCTGCAAACCTCGGTTGTAACGAGTGGTTATTTCAGTCAAAGTTGCTCTTCTATCAGCTTGAATCAGTCGGCCCATTCTCCTCTGACCTCTAGCATCAACAAGGCATTTTCGCCCACAGGACTGCCGCATACTGGATGTCTTTCCCTTTGCACACCATTCTTTGTAAACCCTAGAAATGGTTGTGCGTGAAAATCCCAGTAACTGAGCAGATTGTGAAATACTCAGACCGGCCCGTCTGGCACCAACAACCATGCCACGCTCAAAATTGCTTAAATCACCTTTCTTTCCCATTCTGACATTCAGTTTGGAGTTCAGGAGATTGTCATGACCAGGACCACACCCCTAAATGCATTGAAGCAACTGCCATGTGATTGGTTGATTAGATAATTGCATTAATGAGAAATTGAACAGGTGTTCCTAATAATCCTTTAGGTGAGTGTATGTAGCAGCATAACATCTGCTTAGTATATGAAATGTATCAACCAAATGACGTATATTTTGAAGGCATGACAGGCAAGTCTCCAGCTGTAGGCCAATGCATGTGGAGTGCAACACCATCTTGTAGAAGTTGCCCCATCCATTGTTTGTAAGTAAAACAAAATGTGACAACTGTTTTCTTGCAAATTTCATACAAAGGAGACCAGCTACAGCTATAATTATTAGTTTATATCTGGAATATTTAGAAGTCATTGGACATTAGTTTTGAAAAATAACCAAAACAAGGGCCCACATCGATATAAATGCATATATATAATACAGTATGAATTTTTGAGAATGGTAAGTGGATGATTTATGCCTGAAACATCCACTTTCCACTCACTGAGCTAATTATTTTCTCTGATTTAGAGACCCGCACTAAATCAAACATTTCCAGTATTTCTCAGTGGGACATATAAAAGCGTGAGGATCTGGATATAACATATTACACTGAATTGGGCTAGTTTTAAATAAATAAACATTTATTTGACGCGAAAGTTCTTTTTTGGTAATATAAAAATGATCACAGGTATTTCCACAACAGCCTAAACACAGGCTTTAATCCCGTCAAACTAAATGTCTGAATCTCATTGCAACTTTCTGAA